GGAGGGGAGCGGGGGCGAGCCCGCACCCACAGCCCCCCCGATCCCAGCGAGGGAATTGCTGCTCCTGCCCTGTCGGTGTTTGCTCCTTAACAGCTAAAGCGTCGGAGTACGGACTGCTGGGCCAGCCCAACACCATCCGCACCAACTTCACCACCAAGCAGCTGACGGAGCTGGAGAAGGAGTTTCACTTTAACAAATACCTCACCCGGGCCCGGAGGGTGGAGATCGCCGCTACCCTGGAGCTTAACGAAACCCAGGTCAAGATCTGGTTCCAGAACAGGCGGATGAAGCAGAAGAAGAGGGAAAAGGAAGGTCTCGCCCCGGCTCCTGCCTCCAGGTCTGCGAAGGAAGCGAGTGAAGCCTCGGATCAGTCCAACTGCACCTCGCCCGAGGCCTCCCCCAGCTCGGTGTCTTCCTGAAACGCGTCCCCGCAGGGCACAGCCATCAACTGCCCTCGAGGGGCTGCTGCTCCCCGCAGACCTCCACAGACACACACACGCGCCTCCCACGCACAGCCCCGTCCGCACACACGCGTGGAAGCCAGGCCAAGCTTCCCTCCGAGCCGTCCCTTTGGCCCCGCCCGTCCCCACGCGTGTGATACCAATGCTCTCGTTTGCATTTCTCTCTCTTAATTTATAGACCCTCTGTAAAACCCTGGACTCCAAAGGAGCAGCCGTGTCCTCGTACACCCTTAGCAATAGGCGTTTGTCTCAGGGACGTTTCTCCCTCTCCCTTCTCCCTCCCCTATAGGAGCTGCACTTTCAACTACAGAAACTTTAAAACGAATTTAGTTTTCTCCCGCTTTAAAAATGTGCACAACGGCTTTTGCCTGCAAGAGTCCTACGTTTGATGTCTTTTCCCTCCCCGCGAGGTTGTAAAAAAGTTTTGGGTATTTTTTTTTGTTTTATTTCCCTTTTATTTACTGTATGTGTATCTTGGAATGAGATCTGAGGCGCCCAAGATGCTAGAGGCCTCTGCAAAGACCCCAACACCAAGCAAAAAAAAAAAAAAAAGGCAACTCCTCCGTTACCATTTTGCACTATTAGTTCTTTACAGGGTTTTCCACACGCTCTGCGACTGTGACTGATCCTGGGGGAGGGAGGGTTGTGCTGTCAGGGGAAAGGAGAGGAGGCGAAGGCTGGGCTCGGGGGACGCTCGGCAACGGTCACGGTCGTAGGAGGTGTGAAGGTGGACGGGAACAAGGCGGCGGGAGGGGTCCGGGGCTTGGCCCCCCCAGGCACTGATGCACTGGCTGCTATTTATTGTACGTCTCGATAGCCTCAAGTCTTGGAGCGAAGTAGCACGGTTCCTTGTACCCCCACCCTCTTAGGCTTATCGGAGTCCGATAAAAACATTGTTTAACCATGGCTAAATTGTTTCCCTTCCCCACGAGAAACTTTAGGGTAGGACGAACTGAAAACCACGGTAACTTTTGTTAAAGATTGTTTTAAAGGGAAAAACGTCATCAAGAAAAACTAGCGGTTTCTTAATCGGAATCTCCCTTTTCCCCTCCACTCCTTCCCCCGTGCTCTGTATCTCGAAATGAAACTACCTCAGCCTAATAAAGTTTACTTTTTCCACACGCGAGGCCTCTCGACTTTAAGCGAAATGGAAATCTCTGCCGTCCAGGGAAATGGGCGACACGGGGCGGGGGGGGCGGGATCGGAGTGAGGAGGAGGAAGGAAAAGGTCTCCGGCTGCTCCCAAAGCTCCCGAGCAAAAGGGCCGATCCTGCTCCCTCTGGGTACCCTGCGCCCCACCCCCAC